AAACCATTGTTTAAGCACTCGAGAAATCATAAAAGTAGTGCAGAAAGTCTTCCAAAGGGAGAAGTTGATATTTTAAAAGAAGTTAAAAAAGATACTGATTTGGTTTACTGAAACGATCCAAACTAGTAAGTGGAACGATTAAAATTACTACTTGAATCATGGGCAGCTGGTAACACGGGGATTCACTATGAAATTTATGCAATAGTGGAAGAATTGTATGAATCTGGTATCATAAAAGACATTAAATATATTAAACTGTCTACAGGAGGATTACGCAGTACCATTTCATTACAGAAGCCGATAAGACGGCTATGAATATAGACAAATTTGGTCATCATGTTCATAAGCGTTTACGAATATCTGAATGCTCTGATGTTCCCAGTGACGCTTTAGTAAGAACAGACGCTGGTGATTTTGATTTGAAATCAACAAGATTAAAAGGACTGCAAACTCCCGAAAAAGAGGATGAGGCCGTGAATAAAGAATATTATGTGTTCAAGAACTTAAAAATGAAATGAAAACAATTCACGATAATGTCAAAAAGTACCTTAACAATTTAGAAAAATTGACTATTACGAGTATCAATTTCAGGACAATATATTACGCTAAAAAGGATATCGACCTCATGATTGCATCAAAACCTGCCTAAAATTAGTAAACACAGATATAATCAATGAGCTTCACAAAGCAGCAAGAAGAAATTATTCTCGTCAACATACGATTATTAAAGGAATAGATAATTTATGGCAAGCTGACCTGATTGATTTTCAAAAATATTCCACGTTTAATAAAGGATATAAATATGTTCTAGTAGTAATCGATGCTCTATCAAAATACGTTTGGGTTAGACCATTGAAATAGAAACATAAAAATTTTGTCAAAATGCGATGCAAAATTTATTATCTGCATCAAGACGAAAACTTAAAAATTTACAAACAGATGTTGGTACAGAGTTTTATAATGATTCTTTTAAGAATTTAATGAAAAATTATAATACAAATCATTATTCCACGTACTCCGTTAAAAAGGCATCCATTGTAGAACGAGTAATAAGAACTTTAAAAACTCACCTTTACAAAATATTCAGTCTATGCGGACGATATCAATGGTTCAAAAATAATTTAGATTTTGTTGTAAAGCGGTATAATAATACATTACATCGCATTACAAAATTCAAGCCTATCAACGTTAATGATTCAAATGCGATTTTAGTTATGTCAAACATCAAGAAGTCTCAAAAGCCTAAGATACGTCAAGGACCGGCGTTTTACGATGGCGATTACGTACGTATAAGCAAATACAAAGGATATTTTTACAAAGGTTATAATTGGTCTACAGAAATATTTCGTATCATTAAAGTCAACCAAATCAATCCTCAAACCTATCAAATAGAAGACAAACACAATCAAAAATTCTAGGCTCTTTTTACGGTTACGAATTACAAAAAACTAAATTTCCTGACCTTTATCTTATTGAAAAAATCATTAAAAGAAAAGGAAATAAGCTTTTAGTAAAATGGTTAGGTTTGCGTGATGAAGAAAATAGTTGGGTGGATAAAAGTGAATTAGTTTAGGTATATAAATAACGTATTATTACTTAATAATCTCATTTTATACTTATCGATGAAGGAAGGCAGTGGTATAATTAATAAAGTAATAGAAAATTTACCGTTTGGGCTACATTTACCCGGCTATCAATTTTGCGGCCCCGGAACTAAACTTCAAAAACGGTTACTCAAAGGCGATTGTGGGATAAACAAATTGGATGTAGCATGCATGCTCCATGATATTGCTTACACTAACAAAGATTCGGGCGCTCGACAAAAAGCGGATTTAGAACTTTTGAAAATGGCTAAGAGGAGTTTGAAATCAGAAGATGCTAGGAAAAGAGAAAAAATTGCCTCATAGATAGTCAAAAATGCGATGAAAGCGAAAATCCGGGCGGGGAGCGGTATAAAAGCATTTAAGAAGGGGATAAAAAAATACTCTCATCGTCATACAACTCAATCGTCTCAGTTGAAAAAAATAAAAGCCAAAGACAGTCACTCGGCAATAAAATATGCCTATGCAGCTGCAAAGGAAATATTTAGTAATAAAAAAGGAATAAGTTTACCCCGTTGTATTCCTCTTCCAAAGTGTGGAGGATTTTTAAGACTTATTCCCATATTTGCAGGATTGTCAGCTTTAGGATCATTAGCCGGTGGAGCAGCGGGTATAGCAAAAGCTGTTAATGATTCAAAAGCAGCACAAAAGTCTTCAGGGATCTGAAAGACACAACAGAATGATTGAAGCCGTTGCTCAAGAAAAAGGATTATATATAAAACCTCATAAACAAGGAGCAGGTTTATATCTTAACCCCTCAAAAACCTAATTAAATGGCTACCTAGACGGACGCTCACTAATCTCGACATATTAGAACATGCAAGTGACATTCCATACTTTCGCGGCGTTTTCATGAGAAATAAATTACCTTTGAAACCGAGAAAGATAGATAGAATGTGGATAATTGAATTTGGATAGCTACAGAACAGAACACATACAGAACGCATTGGGTAGCCTTTGTAAAGCACAATAAATACGTAGAATATTATGATATTTTTGGTAATTTAAAGCCCCCGGTAGAATTAGTTAAATATATATAACTTACCTATTAACTATAATTATGCGCGTCATCAAGCGTTTGGTGCTACAAACTGTAGACATCTTTGTCTAAAACTTTTAAGGAATTACTGGAAAAAGCATTTATATAGTGTATGAAATAAATAAACATATCAGTATAAAAATGTCTCTCACTGTGTCTACAACTGGGACAGGAGCCTCTTTATCAACGAACTATTCACCGATAATAGAACTACGAGGAGACTACGAATGTGGTCTTTTGTATTTTTCAACTTTCAATTCTATTCCCAATATAGATGAAAGAAACAATAAATTTTATTATGGTGAAAAAGAAATGATCGAAATTCCTGAAGGGTCTTACGAGCTTCTAGATATTTGTGATTATCTAAAAAATAATATTAAGAACGCTCTACTAAAACTAACTTGTAACAATAATACATTGAAAACAAATATTTTTTGCTCTGAAGATATGCACTTTAATAGAAGAAAATCACTGGGTAAAATTTAAGGCTTTGGCATGGAAACAATAAAAGCAAATATAAGTACTGAATCAAAGTATCCTGTCAGTATTCTATTGACAACCATCGTGCGGATTGAATGCGATGTAGTTAGTGGTTCATTTGTCAACGGGATAGCAAGCCATATAATTTTTGAATTTGCACCTAATGTACCACCTGGTTATCGAATAATTGAAATACCCAGAAACTTTTTTTTCCTGTTAACCAAAATTCCATAAATGCTATCAATATAAAGTTATTGAACGCTGAGAATAAGAGATAAATTTACGAGGTGAAGAAGTACAACTGTATTTACATTACCAAAAAAAATCTACTTCGTGTATCCAAGCCAGTTTTAAAAGAAGATCTCATAAAGGCACACCTCTTCAGCTGAAAAAGAAGCTTACCAAGTCTAACAAAGAATTTCTTAAGCTAGTTAAAATGAATATTTTAAACGTATCTCAACAAACATCATACGATAACAGCATTGAAAGTTTTGAGTATCATTCATACAAACCATATGTAACTATTTTAAACAAGAATGATGAAATACGTATTCCTATTAATCAACAAGACCTGTACGTACTACCTTCACTCAGTAGTTTATTATATATCGACGGAAAGGTGAACGTTTATAACAGCACCACAAAAGAAGAGGTATCAAACGTACATTTTATCAATAATCCCGTGCTATTTATTTTTCAAGACATACGATATGAACTTAATGGAGTAGAAATAGATAAAATTAAGAATGCTGGTGTCACTACAACAATAAAATCTTATCTATCCTTAAATGAAAATGAATCCAAATGTGCTCGAGTTTGGGGCTGGTCAACTGACGGAACTAGCAATACTAGTGGTGAAACGTTTTCCGCATCTATACAATTGAACACGATATTAGGATTTGCAGAAGATCATGAAAAAATTATAATTAATTGAAAACATGAGTTAGTATTATTACGAAACAATACAAATCTTAATGCGATCAAGTTAAATACAGGTGAAGTTGTAGAAGATATTATAATAAATCAAATATTTTGGCGACTTCCACACATCAAAGTATCAGATCGTGAAAGAATCGCTTCCTATAATGTTTATAGTCACTAATTTTGGTAAAATACAATAAAACCACATGAAGTGTGCTTTTATTTACACAGGTATTTTATTGTACTATTTGAATGTGAAGGTGGAAAAAAAATATGAAGAAACTATAACATTATTTCTTCTGCAAATTAGTTGTATAGCATACTCGTAGGTAGGTAATTCAAATCAAAGCAAATCCAGAGATGCCGGATCAATCAGTGAGCATTAATTTCATCAATTGACTAACAGTTAGTTGCCTACGGAAAGGAGGGTTTTCTATAATCGTTACGCTTGCCAAGAGATAGACAACCGTAGTGCCATCCCGCTATTTTTCGACTACTTTAAGCGAGTGGTTGACTAGACTCCCACCACCAATTTCATGCACCTGGTAATTCCTGATATATTCGTTGATTGTAACCCGAATCAGCTATGACTAAACTAATACTATGAAGTCAAATAACTTATTGTAACAATGGTGCTAAAAAGACTTGATACTGACGCCCCTGGCAACCACCCGCTTTACCACCCTCTAAAGCCGTCACTTATATAAAATAATATCTTCTTCTCAATTATTTATTGAGTTTATACTAGATGTGAATGGCAGAGTCGGGAAGGGACGCTCTAGACGAGGTTTATCGATCAATTGGCGATATATTGAAAATGGGCCAGATTTGGAGTACTCTTAACCCACGAGCATGTATGCGTAGATGGAAGTAAAGGAGGCGGGAGAGGTATATCAGGATCGATAAAATGTAAATCCGTAGTCTCTGCTTACTCCTTTGAGTAGCAGGCGTGAGTGTTTATGTATATGTATTTATGTTTAAATACCATTTACTTTAAATTGTTACAGAAACACGTAACAGTTGCGTTAGGCTGCGGAAAATTAAGAGGAACAGAGAGTAAGCTCTGGAATGGTTCTACATATTACAGCTTCAAAGGCATTCCCTACGCGCAACCACCCGTCGGCAAACTCAGATTTAAGGTAAATTACGTCTGGACTAACAAATATAAAAACTCTATTCGAAAGAAACACTTTTAATGAAAATTCGATAATTCGATAGCACAGTAAGTATTCATTTCTAATATATTCATCGTCCAATAAGTTCTTTTTTTAAACGCTACCCCCACACTAGGATTTTCTCCTGTATCATGGAGGCAGTTTACAAACAAAGATTGCACGAGGACAAAAATCCAGACCCGGAACAATTATTTGTAGGCCATACAAATTCGTGTTCCATGTGGTATCTGTCCTAGATATGATGGTCCAATCTTGGGCATGGATGGATGGAAATGGGAGTGCCATTTCAGGGAAGTTATTTTAGATTTGCTAAAATCACCATAGCTAGATGACGGAACTGTATCTAACATCATGCATCTTTGAAGCTGCTATTCGCCAAATGATAGATGTTGACAACGGGGCCTATTGAGACGATGAGGTCGTTCTATTCTTTCACTCTGTCATTTAACACTATGCACAGAAAAAATGGTAAAATATTCTCTTTCGCCCCAACCATACAGCATAATTCTAATATTATAGTTGTAGTTAATATTTAGTTTATTGCTCAAATCATAAATATGTTACAGGCCCCACTTCCACCAGAACCCTGGCAAGGTACTTACGATGCATTCGAACATGGACCAGTATGCCCGCAGACAGAAACAAACGGTGGAAACATTCACAAGTGTAGCGAAGATTGCCTGTATCTCAACGTTTACACAAAATCATTAGATCGAAATTCAAAACTGCCTGTAATGATACTAATTCACGCTGGAGCCTATCGTTCAGGGTCTGGCAACACTGATATTTACGGACCGGATTTTTTGTTGCAGCACGACGTTTTACTGGTCACGTTTAACTATAGATTAGAAGCCTTAGGTTTTTTGTGTTTAGATACTCCTGAAATTCCTGGTAATGCTGGTATGAAAGACCAAATAGCTGCTTTTCGGTGGGTACAGAGAAATATAGAGAATTTAGGTGGGGATCCTAACAATGTCACTATATTCGGTGGAAGTGCTGGAGGAACATCTGTGACATACCATTTGCTTTCACCTCTGTCAACAGGGTTATTTCATAAAGCAATTGCACAAAGTGGAGTCTGTTTAGTGGATTGGAGTCAAGGAAAAAACGGAAGAGAGAGAGCGATTAGAGCGGCGAAATACTTAGGTAAAGAAATTAATAATACATCTGAATTGACAGATCTGTTTCAAAGTGTTCCAGTTGAAAAGTTAGTTAAGATTACCTTTAAATCAATGACTGAAGATGAGAAACATCGAGGGTACCCAACTCATTTCGTCCCAGTCGTTGAGAAAGAATTTGAAAATGTGGAAGCATTTATAACTAAGGAGCCTATAGATTTATTACTCTCTGGACAAGTTAATAAAGTACCATTAATAACTGGATATAATTCCTCCGAAGGACTTTTTGCGACAGCATATCAGATTAAAAAAGTTAATTTTATGAACAATAATTTATCTTATTATGTTCCAAGAGAAATAGCTAATGTGGTATCGACAGATACGCTCGCAGATTTTGGGAACAAAATACAGAGTTTTTATGCAGGTGACAGAAAAATGACAGAGAAAGACATTGATATTATAATGAACTTGCTTTCAGATATCCATTTCGTCTACAACTGTCACAGATTTTGTCAATTTTACTCAACACTATGCGAGTCAATATTCACTTACAGATTCGACTGTGTAACTGACTTAAATGTACAAAAAAAGTCCTTAGGATTTGAGCACTGCAAGGGAGCGTGTCATGTCGACGAGTTATACTATCTATTCAAAAATGAAATGAATAAAGATGCATATGAAAGTCAAGAGAAGTTAAGAGAAATTGTATTTAAAGTGACCAAGTTATGGACTAACTTTGCCAAAACCGGGTATAGTATTTTGCGTTTACGTATCCTTTAATATTCTATTTTTATGTTAGCGAACTGGAGGTTACACAAAACACATGCTGCTTGTACCACCTTCTGCAAAGTTTTAAATACACCGTTGGACGGTGTATTTTGCAGAATGGTCAGGGTTAACTATTTTTGCATCGAAACCTATTTAAGTTAAAGTACTGACTATGATCTTAGTTAGTAAGGAAAAAGTATTTGTATGGCCTAAATAAAATTATTCCAGGACTGGATGTTTGACCTTGTGCAATTTATGCCGTGTAGTAGCGGTAAAGAATATTCACTACCCCATATCTTCCCGTGGGTGTCGTAAAAGGTGACAAAGGGAAACAGGCAGGAGATGGGCAGCAGCATCTTCCTGATAACAGCAAAAGTACAATAAAAAACTGCGGTTGCCAACCCGCTCGCCAAGCGTGGCAACTATGGCAAATACCCCCCAATGATTAGAGCAACGAGGAGACGGCCCCCAGTCCCCGGCGGCTCCGCTGTTCCTGGCTTCGGTGGCGACCATGGTAACGGCGGGACAGGGGGTGCTAAGAATCTCGGTTTATAAAGTAAGGTGGTGCAAGATATTTTCTTTCTGAAATCTTTCTAGCTTATTTATGTACCTTGTGTAAGAAGGATCCAAATCGAAATACAGTATTCTGAATGACTTCGTCCGTGACAGTTACAAAATAATAATTAGAATTTCTGGTTATTTTAATATTTTTGTTTGACGAATCAAAAAACCATCCAGTTTCTCTGGTACTTACAGATAAACCAGTTCTTCTTCGTCATTGTTTTAAAGTTCATTGACGGTTGGTATTCCATTACTTGAAATTTATTCAGGTAGAGTACAGGGGCTCCACTATATGCAGAAAACATTACTAGTTTGCGGGATATGAAACCAGTTTTTTTCTCGAATATATTTTTAGCAATTAGTTGGTCACTTAAATCGCCATCATCACTCATTAATAGTATAGTATATAGTCCACTTTGATATAAAAAAAAAAAAACAAATCTAGTATAGTCCATCCATTCATTACGGGTTTAAAAGTCTACTACTGAACATAGACCTCCCCAATAGATTGCCTCATAGGGAGGACATTTGCAATAATTGCCACTCTTGACATATTTTAAGCTATTATCTGGAAAATGTCCCTGCTCATCACCTGTTTCATTTTCCTTTGTCAATTCTTACACAGCACTTGTGACACCCACGGGATAACAAGGGGTAGTGGATTCTCTCACGAAGCTGCAACACAGAGAGTAAACATATATACATGCTGTTTACATAATGATTTCTTATATTTACGCGAATACATTAAATGTTACGGATTTTACCGCATTTAATTTAAACTTTTTAATTCTCGATGTTTCTGGTGCTTTGCAGCACACATGGTCACGGGGGGACTGACATGTTTGACGTCCCGATGTCATAGTTAGTCTGGCTACCTTAAGTTTTTGAATAAAATCCGTAAAATTAGTTTCATTTAAAACATGCCGTTAAGCTTATTTAGATGTTATTTTCAGAAACCCAACACCCAATAATACGCTGGGATTTAATTGGGCTCCATACACAACACGCGGCAAAGAATATCTGATCATGAATGAAAACTTTCGTATGGGAACGTTTGCGGACAAGGAGCGAGTGGAATTCTGGAACAGTCTATACAAGGAAGCAGGTCTTCCATATATACCCGAATGCTGACTACATGTTCTAATAAAGTATATAATGTGTTGTTAATAAAATATGTATTGGAATTGTTTTGTATTAGTTTATTTTTTGAATACCAGTATTTTTTTATTATTAAGGATTACCAAACATGGTTGACACGAAACAACCAGGTTGGTAAGAAAACGACATAATTTCGATAAAACAGCCCAGGTTCTAAAACTTAAGTGGGTATAAAGAGATAATAACAGAATTAAGCTCCAGATTTATCCTATAGGAACAGTTCACGTTTTCGAGGTAAAAGAATATTACGTCGCTCTCCGGCCCATGAACTATAAAATAATGAAAAATGAAATGAAATATCCGTTTTTCCGTGTGCCGTGTAGTGGCGGTTAAGAATATCCTCTACCCTATATCTTCCCGTAGGTGTCGTAAAAGGCGACAAAGGGAAACAGGCAGGAGATGGGCAGCAGCATCTTCCTGATAACAGCAAAAGTACAATAAAAAAACTGCGGTTGCCAACCCGCTCGTCAAGCGTGACAACTATGACAAATACCCCCCAATGATTAGAGCAACAAAGAGACGGCTCCCAGTCCCCGGTGGCCCCGCTATTCCTGGCTACGGTGGCGACCATGGTAACGGCGGGGCAGGGGGTACTAAGAATCTCCGGTGGAGGTTCGGTTCCCACCTAAGACGACTAGACCTGCCATCATACAACACACGCACCCTGAGGACTGACGAGAAAATCGTGAAGCTGGAAGAAGAGATAGAGAAGTTACGCTGGCATATTATAGGATTATCCGAGGTCCGAAGAGAGGGGGAGTACACGGTAATCCTCGAATCCAGCAACTTGCTCTATCACCGGGAGGGTGACCATCTATCCCAAGGAGGTGTCTTATCGTCCACAAGTCTCTCGTTAACAACGTTGTAAAGATTGAGAGTGTGTCGACGAAGGTTGCGTACCTTATACTCAGAATCACCAAACGGTATACGTTGAATGTCATACAGGTTTACGCACCAACCTCGGCACATCCCGTTGAGGAGGTGGAGGAAATGTATGAGGATATCTCTGGAGGATATCCATGCATTCCTCCAAAACCCAATATACGGTGTTAATGGGGGACTTCAATGCAAAACTAGGGAGAGAACGGTGTGATGAAAGTAGGGAAATTTGGAATAGGGCAACGGAACCCAAGGGGCCAGCAGCTGGCCGACTTCATGAAGAAAGAAAGCCTCTTTATGATGAGCTCTTGCCTTCATAAACCCTGTACCCCAGGGCCCTGTGGGGCCCCACAGGAAGTGGACCTGGTCGAGCCCCGACGGTTCGACAAAAAATGAGATTGACTTCATTATGACGACCAGACGACAACTGTTCCGTGATGTATCCGTGATCTTGATGGTGAAAACTGGTAGTGATCACCGAATGGTCAGAGGCACACTGAACCTTAAAATTAAGTTAAAGAGGTATCGTCTAATGAAGTAAACACTCCGTTCCCCTCGTGCTCTGTTCCAAAGTCCCGAAACCTTTCAGCTCGAGTTACAAAACCATTTTCAGTGCCTGGAAGACTGCAATGAAGTGGACGATACGAATGACAAGCTCGTGGAAACTGTCCATGCGGTCAGAGCTAAGTTCTGCAAGACCCGCCACAGAAGAACACAAAAACTCTCATTCTTAACTCATGGCTGTTAGACGAGAGATGAAGCAACATTCTTCAACAGATTTGACAGCATACAGGCAACTGAACAGACAGATCTCCAAATGCATGCCGCGGTACTTGCGCAACTTCAATACAGCTTGTATTGAAGAAGTGATCGAGCGGAACCAAAGCTCCAAAGTCTTTGTCAGAGATCTGTCTGCCAGAAAGAGCCAACATTCAAAGCTTAAGACCGAGTGTGGCAGCATCGTTTCCGGGACGCCTGAGATTTTGAGTGAGATTGAGAGGTTCTATGGGCAGCTGTACACGTCATCGTTGAAGCCACACGTAAGTGTGAGTAACGATCCAAGAGCGAGTCTTATCCGACACTATTCCGAAGATATCCCAGACGTCAGTCTGAGCGAGATTAGAATGGCTCTCCAGCACCTGAAAAATAGCAAGTCCCCGGGCGAGGATGGAATTACAGCGGAGCTTCTGAAAGCGGGTGGAAAACCGGTACTGAAGTCCTTGAGAAGCTCCGGAGGCTTGGAGTGGAAGTGCGGTGGTCTTGTTCTTCAAGAAAGGCGACAACGCTCTCTTGAAGAACTATAGACCGATTTCCCTTCTGAGCCGCGTCTACGTGCTGTTTTCGAGAGTCATTACGAATCGTCTCGCACGCAGACTTGACGACTTGGTTTCCGAAAAGGCTTTAGTACCATGGACTACATACATACCCTGCGACAGATTGTACAGAAGACAGAGGAGTATAATCTGCCACTTTGCCTTGCGTATGTGAACTATGAGAAAGCCTTTGATTCCGTCGAAGTTTGGGCGGTGCTGCAGTCCCTTCAGCGGTGCCAAGTTGACTGTCGGTATATCGAAGTGCTGAAGTGTTTGTACAGTTGAGATATGATGGCTATCCGAGTACAGAATCAGAGTACGAAACCTATCCAACTGCAGAGAGGTGTAAGACAGGGTGACGTTATATCCCCGAAACTCTTCACCGCTGCTTTGGAAGCCGTTTTCTATCTACTGGACAGGAAAGGATACGGTATTAACATCAATGGCGAGTACATCACTCACCTTCGATTTGCCGACGGTATAGTCCTTATGGCAGAATCGCTGGAGGACCTAAGCACTATGCTCAGTAATAATAATAATAATAATAATCCTCGGGCAGTGTATGGGGCAGTGGAGTACGATCCTTTGTCATCTAGGCGAGCGGATGACGGCTGCGGAGAACCACATAAGGATAAGAAGGGGTATCTTCCAGGGCGATTGTCTGAGTTTAATCTGGTTCTGCCTCTCTCTGAACCCTCTTAGTACCTTACTGGAGGGTTCCAGGAGAGGATTTCAGCTTCGGAGAGGAGGTACAAAAGTGACCCACCTTTTCTATATGGATGATCTCAAGTTATTCGCCTCCAGTCGCTCTCATCTTATGGAATTGCTAAACGTCACTTGTGATTTTAGCAATTCTATTAGAATGGAGCTGGGGACGGATAAGTGTGCGGTCCTCCATGTCGAAAGGGGTAGGGTAGCTAACTCTGAGGGCATAGACTTATCTATGCCCATCAACATAAAGACCCTATCCGAGGCTGAAACATACCGATACCTGGGTATGTCACAGAACATAGGTATCGATGAGGCGGACATGAAACGGTCAGTTTGCGGTGTGTTTTATGCACGCTTGACAAAAGTACTCAACAGTCTTTTGTCGGGTGTTAATAAGACACATGCATATAACGGTTGGATCATGCCTGTTCTCATGTATACCTTTGGCATGCTCAGGTGGACTCAGACCGAACTGAACGCTCTGGACAGAAAAGTCCGCACTATAATGACGTCCCACAGGATGCATCATCCGAGATCGTCAGTAATGAGGCTGTACTTGCCGCGGAAGCATGGTGGGCGCGGCTTTTTAAGCGCGCTTACCATGCATAATCGCGAAGTGTGCAGCCTACGTAATTACTTTCTGACGAGAGCGGATGATCCATTCTATAGGGACGTTATTTCTTGTGATAAAGGACTTACCCCTCTATCCTTAGCCAACGAGCAATGGCAAGACCCGGCAGTACAGAGCATTTCCGACCGGGAGACCGTATGGAAGGAGAAGGAGCTCCACGGGAGGTTCTACAAGGCTCTACATGAGCCTTGCGTAGACACAGTCGCCTCCCTCCACTGGCTACGTTTCGGTGACCTCTTTGGGGAAACCGAGGTTTTCTCTGTGCGATACAGGATCAGGTTATTAAGACCAACAATTATCGGAAATACAGGTTATATTCCAGTCCAGACAGGACTATTCTTGCGAATAAGCCTGATATTGTGCTGATGGACCGGGCACAGTCAAGGATATTTTTGGTCGACATTACCATTCCTTATGACGAGAACCTCGTGAAAGCCGAAACAGATAAGTTGACAAAATATCTGGACCTGGCTCACGAGGTTACCGACATGTGGGGTGGTCTGCCGGCCGAAATTATTCCTGTGGTCGTCTCTGCGAACGGGTTAATCCCAGTCAGCCTCTCGGGTCATCTGAGGCGACTGGGACTCCGTAACGGATCGCTCCAAGCTCAAATGCAGAAGGCGGTGCTCCTCGATACCGCCCGCATCGTCCGCCGGTTTCTTTCCTTTTCCTCCTAACCCTCGGCCGTTTGGTCTCCCCTGCCGAGGGCTTCAATCTGGTTGGGTTTTTATATATTTATGTAATTTTTATGTATTTATTTTATTTTATTGATATTTATGTAAATTTATCATTTTCATTTACAATTATATATTTATACAGCCCAACCAGATGAGAAAACTATACAAATACCCCATAATAATAATAGTTTATTGCCCCTAAAAACAAAACAGTTATATACACGCCAAAACAAAAGAACATTATAACTATTTGAGACAAAAGGAGACGGCTCAGCGTTGTCTGTAACGAGATACATATCTCATCACAGAGCTGTTTTTCAGCCGCTCCCTCCTCCCTGAGGTGTTGTGCGGGAATCCAAAGTAGCAGGCTCCCCATTTACCTAACTTATACTTTTAAACTACGAACAAAGTAATTAAATGTGATAAAATCGCAAATACAAAAAAAAAAGATTAAAAACATTAAAGACAAAATAAAAACATTTAAAAAATATGTATAAAACAACCATTACGAAATGAGCTAACAACAGATCCAAAAAAAATGTGTGTGTGTGTGTGTGTGTGTGTGTGTGTGTGTGTGTGTGTGTGTGTGTGTGTGTGTGTGTCCTTATTAATTTTTGGCAAAAAAGTCCCGTAAATGTAATAACTTAACATAGGGATGTTTCAAATTCTCTGCAGCGAGTTGTCTTTTTAACAGAGCCAATTTATATTTGGCTTTGAAGCAATCTATTGACATTTTCTTTCTCATGGGTGGAGGGAGGTCAT